ACGAACAGATTCACTTACATTAATGGTTCATTTTGATTCATTACAGATCAGGGCCTACATTTATTTTACATAGTGTTGGTCTCTGCTGCTGGATCTCTGTTGATTGTAGTTTCAGTCGTGATGTGCTGCATCTGCAGGAAATGTAGAAAAACAGGTAAGGAGAACAAGCTGCATGGATATTTATTAGACACAATTTTTGATATAACTGTCATTTTAACATGTCTGTATTATTGTTAATGCAGCCCAGACCCAAGAGGAAGACAGAATTGATTCAGCATTGTGTAAACCGAAAACAGAGAAAACGGTAAGATTATTCATGACTGTGTTGCAAGAAGATGTGTAGCAGTCAATCTGATTGAAGTTTGCAGCATCAGATGCTCATTGAACAGACGTGGGTGGTCTATCAGCCCAACCATCTTTAGTGGGGAGCAGATCAAAAGGACAGTATTTTTTTTCATGCTATCTACACTAAGCCTATACTGATTCCCCCTCAGTGTAAGTTTATTTTTCTTTCCATGTTACAGTTTTCCCATTATAATCAGTGAAACTGTATAGTTGCATTATTATGCATCTTTAGTTTACGGACAGTCCATTTATATGTTTTGACGTGCTGCCGTCTGACAGAAAGGTGATTTATATTATTTGACGAGTTGCTGTCTGACGGAAAGTTTATTTATTTACACATATCATGAATTAGGTGTTATGAATTGTATGTCTACATGTACAACTTTTGACCTCTCTATACTAATTTAAAACATGGTTTGTTTAAAATCATATGCTATGTAAAGTTCTACAAATAAATTGGTTTGTTATTCTGAAATATTCCATACAAAGTTTTATACTATTAGATTATAATTGGAAGGAAAGTAGGACACAAATTTCTTAAGCCATGTTACCTGTGCTCATCTTGAGCTGCAGCTGCTCTGTGCTTCATGATAGTCTGAGGTGAAATGCAGCTTCAGGCCATTGGTTGATTTGTAGATGTGCTGCCACAAGTGTCTTTGCTGTTGCTTTTGTGAGAAAAACAACCATTTTCAGCCATTTAGCTGATGTGAGAAAACTTCAGATTTTGTAATGAATGGGGTGTTTGATGTAATTTCCTCTTGCTGTTTCATGTTAACATATGTTGCACATTAAAAATTAAAAAGCACCAGATCAGCTTTTGGTGTAAAACTGATGGAAAAACATGTTCTACTGAGGATTTTAAAAGTAGTAGGCCTACTAACCTACTGAAGACAATTATTTTATAGAAGTAGCTCTGTTACACCAACACAGTTCCTTATTGATTGATTTTTGTGTTTTCTTGCAGAAACCAAAGACTGAGGCTGTGTATGGAAATGTCCTCAAAAAACAATGATCAAATACTGGATTTTTTTTAGAACTTATACAGGACAATACCTCACACTTTTTCATTCACATTAATTATCTTCCAGGATGTCACTATTTTGTCTGTATCATATCTTTTGGTGTTACTGTGATGTCTAAAAT